GCTGAATGAATATTTTAATATTTACGAACGCATATTTTCATTAAAAGTATAACAAAGTCATATGAAGGATGTTCGCATATTCCCAGGAAGTAATTGCATCAAAAATGTATACCGCGTACCCGCCTTTACATTACTTGTTGCGCTCTTGCCATCCAACTCTTTTTGTTTTTGCTCTGTTAAATCGAGTGCTGGGAGTTTATTTTTCGATATAATTTTCCATCAAGTTAAGTCAGACGGATTAAAGCGTAAAAGCACGACAAAGTTGTTCCGCTGCGAATTCTTAACCTACATATACAGGGTGACTTTGAAGTTGAGTCATTAATTTTCAGATAATGATTGTAGAAGGAAGATAAACCAGAATATGTGTGTAAAAATAAAAAAAAATTAAAAAAAAATTTTTACCTTGTTTTATAAAGTATCCTCCCGACAAGTATTTCAGTGCGGACCTGTATTTGATCGTGAGGTCCCCTGTGAGGTCTTAAGTCACCTGATTCACGAGCCCGTTGTACTACATTAACAAAGGCACGAGGGGTTGGTTGCACTCGATTGGGAAACCGATCCGCATAAACATGTGCCATTTTTTATTTCGTTTGAGCCACGCAACAGACACTATTCACACGCTAACCGACAGACACTGAGTGTATGTATAACTGAACTGAATAAAATACTTAATTGCAAAAACGTTCCAAATTCTTTCGCTTTTTTGTTTCCGATGCGATGAACTGGTAAGGCGGATTAAATCCGTTGTTGCCAAAAACGAGTACATGATATTATTATTGAGACAGGGCGGTACTCAAACTTCCAAAGGGCTATAACTTTGTTACTTTAATTTTACCAGAAAAATGGTAAAGGAAAAAAACATTTCTTTTGATCAGATCTACTCACTGTTAAAATAAATGACTCAACTTCGAAGTCACCCTGTATACAAAGATACTGCGACTGCTATACATATAGAAGTTAAAGATATCTTGATCTCGGGCCTGATTCTAAATGTATTTTGACCGTTGAAATTGACTTCGATGGCGCTTTATGAGGATCTATTTGATTCACTATGATGATTTTGACACTGACAGAACATACAGGGTGTTTCAAATTTGACCCTCACCATTGGGATCTGGAAAACTGTAAGTGATATGAAGTTGATTAAATCAGTTCAGTCCTGACGTTGAACGCGATCACGCGCGGAAAACAACACGGCGAATTACCAATAGAGAGTGGTGTTATACATATAAATACATAGGAAAAATTCCTTCCTTTTTTCCTCAACCGTTTGTACAACTGAAGATAATAACTATTATACAGTTTAGTGTGTAATGCCCAAAGATAATGATCTCCCTGATGGGGGATCAACTGATATGGACATCTCCTCCATAGGAGGAGGCAGTAACCATGGAGTAGACAACCGTCAAGGAGTTAGTCTGAATACAAGCATCGCAACCGACACTACGCCAGATAAGTGCACTGTTTTTAATTTGCAAAAACCTAAGCAATATTCAGATTCTATTTATGTATTTATTGAGAAAATAAATACTGAAAATATTGGTACGCTACACCCAATGGCCATAGACCATATATTTCATAGAAAACTCAACATTCCAAACATTGTCAACATCGAAAAAGTAGGTAGAAATGGAATCAAGGTTCAGGTAAAAAGTTTGAAGGACGCGAATCGTCTAGTTACTAACCAGTCACTAAAAAATGAAAATTTAAGATCATTTATCCCCAGTAATTTACTACTTAGGAAAGCAGTGATAAAAAATGTTGATACTAGTTTTGACGAAAAATATTTATTTGAAAACTTTTTGTCTCCTGTAACTATCATTGAGGTAAAAAGATTAAAACGTAAGTATTAAGCCTCCCAAATTCGACGATGTTCAGGAATTTTTAAAGGAAACGACCCGCTCCGTAACAACGTTCAATTTATTCTGTTCTATTTTATTACGAATGTAAAAATGAAAACGATCCGCTGCGCAACAACGCTCGATTTTTTTCTGCCCCATATATCTACACGTTTTTGTCCCGTACCACTTCTGTGTGTACCTATGATTCAGCATCTAATCTTCTCCCAGTGCCGTCCCAGGATACGCTGCACTATTTTTCCGTAACAATCGGCCTTCCTGACCCTCTGGTGTCCCCGCCAGTGGTATAGTAACCATGGTTGTTATTTGCTGCCCTAGAAAGGAATCAAAATACAGTACCACTTTGTTATGAAATATATTACAGGGTGGATGAATTGTAGTATTGTTCACTCACAGTCAGTGTGACCTTAGTTACCACACTCACACACCTTCTTCCGCAGTGTGACCTTAGTTACCACACGCATATACCTTTGAGAATGTGTGAACTTTGTTACCACACATGTATTATTTTCAATAGTGTGAACTTTGTTACCACACATATTTTATTTTCAATAGTGTGAACTTTGTTACCACACATATATTATTTTCAATAGTGTGAACTTTGTTACCACACATATATTATTTTCAATAGTGTGAACTTTGTTACCACACATATATTATTTTCAATAGTGTGAACTTTGTTACCACACATATATTATTTTCATTAGTGTGAACTTTGTTACCACACATATATTATTTTCAATAGTGTGAACTTTGTTACCACACATATATTATTTTCATTAGTGTGAACTTTGTTACCACACATATATATATATATATATTATATATATTTATGCATATTACTTTTCATCTGATGTGACCTTAGTTACCACACCACCACTGATATATAATAAAACTGCAACTTCATGAACCAGTTTTATTAACATGATGATTAAGCCCTCCAAAGATGTTATTTCATATCTATCATTTCCCAAAACCTTCTTGATTTTATAAGGCCCACCAAATTTTTGATAACCTACTTTCCTACTCACTTCTTTTTTATTTGTATTCGCCCCAGACCATAGTACAAGATCACTCTTACTGTATGACTTTGTAGGAAAGCGTGTGCTTTTCATCGAAACGTTTTTTTCATCTTTTTCGCCTGTAGGTCCATCCTATCCTTTGCCTTTCGCTTAGCATCGGGGAAGCCTCAAACTCATTATCTCTCAAATCAGCATGACGATTTTTTTCATAACCAAACATTAAAAGGTGTTGTGTGTACCCGGTAGTATCGTTTACGGTATTATTTATATCCCATAAGACTTTGGGAAGAGCTCTTTGCCAGTCACTTTCATTTTCTATAGACGTATTTATTCCATTTAATATTGTTCGATTATACCGTTCGATTTGTCCATTTGCTCTTGGACATGCTATAGCGTTAAGAATATGTTTAACCTGATATTGACTTAAAAATAGTTTGAATGCTTTACTAGTGGAAGCTTTTCCACGATCCGAAATTATTCTTTTGGGAGTCCTGAACATACTAAATAAATCGTCTAAATGCTCATTGACCTCCTTAGCTTTTGTAGTTTTAGTCGGTCTAGCAAATACAAATTTAGCGAATGAATCAATTATCATGAGAATATATGAATTTCCCCTATCACTTTTGACAAATGGGCCCAAATGGTCAATATGCCATGTATGAAGTGGTTCGCATGGCTTAGTTATCGGAAAAAGTTGTCCTTGTTGTTTCCCATATTGTCCCCTTTTATAATGATAATCTAGACACGCAGTTACGTATTTTTTTTATAAACCTAGTCATATTTTTGAACCAAAATTTGTCCTTGATAATTGCCTCGCAGCGTTTTAGTCCCACATGACCAATATCATCATGATATTTCCGCAATATGTTAAATCGCGCAGACTTGAGGACAACCAGCTTAAGCTTACCATATAACGTCTTACGATACAATTTATGATCCCTTATTTCATAATTATTTGAAATGTCCTTGTCGTTTGCTGCGGCCAACTTTTATCATCCGGATACTTTCGTCTTGTTGTTGTTATGCTAAAACCCAATCAGACGCATCCATAATAAGTACATCGCTTATTGGATTTCTGCTTAGAGCATCTACATGTTTCATTTTATCACCTGGACGGTGTTCTACTTCAAAATCAAAATCTTGGATGCTTAACCACCATCGTGCAACCCTAGGTAGCAAATCTTTTTTTCTCAAAAGTACTCCTAACTGCACTACAATCTGTGACTATTTTGAAGTGTATTCCTACAAAATAGACCCTAAATCTGTTAATTGACTCAACAACAGCTAAAGTCTCTATCTCGTATGAATGATATAATTTTTCATCACGTGATGTTGTCCTGCTAAAGTAATAGACCGGTTTTAACGTAGTTCCCTCATACTGCAGGAGAATGCTTGCAATGCCCTTGCTACATGCGTCTGTATGTAATTCAGTCTTTGCTTTAGGGTCATAAATTTTTAGGATAGGTTTATTTATAAGTATATCCTTAATCTTACTAACAGCTTGTTTATGCTCACTTTCCCAAGACCACGGTACATTTTTGCGTAACAATGTTGTAAGTGGAGCGACAATTTTAGCATGATCTCTTATAAATTTCCGAAAATAGGAACTAAGCCCCAAAAACTGCCTTAGTTCATGTATATTTGTTGGATCCTTGAAATCTGCTACTGCTCTAACTTTTCGATCACCAGGTCTGATTCCTAGTTCCGAAATCTCATAACCAAGGAAATTAATTTGTGTCTGGAAAAATGAGCACTTATCTATGTTGAATTTTAAATTGGCTTTCGCAAATAGTTCAGAACATTTTGTAAAACTTGCAAACCCTGTTCCACAGTGTTTGACGGGATTAAGATGTCATCGAGATAAACAGCGACTTTATCATATCTTAAATTTCCCAATACATTGTTCACCATTTCATCCTCAAAAATTTATACTGTCCGTCAGGCGTTACAAAAGCAGTTTTATTTATGGAATCAGATGCCACCGGCACTTGATAATATCCTTGAGCCATATCTAAGCTGCAAAAATACTTCTTATTTTGTAGCCTGGATATCAAATATTCTATGTGTGGCAGTGGGTAATTATTTTTCACCATGATTGAATTCAATTTCCTGTAGTCAACACATAAACGATAATCCCCATATTTTTTTGGTCTGTCAGATAACAAATCTATTTTCAATTCTACTGATTTACTATAGCCTAACTCGAGTGTATCGGTTGCAAAACATTTACTGAAACTAGGTAAAAGGTCATACAACTTATTTCTATCATTTTCTAACAAATCCCCACAATTTATGTTGCCCATTTGTAACTATAGAGTGCTGAGTTCATTGCCTTCTTCTATGATTGGAAATTTACTCCATAGCATAGCTTGAATCCTTTTGTTAAAATTTGCCCTTTTTCCGAACATATAGGTCTATTACCCCAATTTATTACATTTAAAGTTTGAACTGCAACACTAACAATGCATCTTTGTATAGAACAATTTTGGGAACAAGTAAATAGCTGGCCACTTATAATGACAATATCTTGGGTATTATCTAAAGCAATCAATATTCTCTTAGAACTTAGAGCAGGAATATGTACATGCTCGAAAACTTCAATAGGCAATTTTTCTATTTTATGTAGGAAACTAAACATTACTAACAAATTATTTCCAGCTGGTTTTAATTACACATGTCCACCTATGATATTCAAAATCACATTTTTGCTATTTATAATCGGTTGTCCAATAATAACATCAACTGGGGACATATCAACATTCACAAATACCAAAGACGTACTCATAAAAATCTTGCCAATAGATATCTCTACCTGACTGGATCCTTCTGGCACTATGTGGGAGCCACTGAAATTCCTTAGTAATATATCAGTTGGATATAATTTTAAATTTAATTTGTTGGCCACCTTAATATTTGCGACATTCAATTGACTACCAGTGTCAATATACCCATTGAAATTTTGACCATTGATTTCTACGGCTATATTATAAAAGGAATTGGACACTTGCCTTTGCAAAATTCTGACATTCTTAAGGTGCAATTTCGTTGCGACGTCCCGCCGCCGCGGTCGACCGCAACTGCTAGCCGTTGCGGCTGACCGTTGCGGCCAAGCGATTTCGTTGCAGCGTCTAAATTTCGGGGTCGTGCTCTAAATTGTGAACATGGATTCAAAAAATCTCGCCAAAATAATTTTACTTGAGGACGAAGAAGAAGATGAAGAAGTGATATTATGGTGGTCTAGTCAACGAGAAGATTTTGACAGATTGTACCAATCTCGCAAGGAAGAGGGATATTTTAAAATTCTAATGAAGAATCACCTGGATACAAACGAACAAAAATTTCGTGAATTTTTTCGTTTAAATAAGGAACAGTTCCAGTTTGTTCTGAATATAGTATCGACAGATTTAAAGAAAAAATCCACAAATACCGTTCACGACCCTATATCGCCGGAAGAAAAGTTGGCATTGGCGTTAAGGTAAGAAAAAACAAAGTTTTAAAGACTTTATATTATTAAGAAACTCCAAACGCTTAAACAATGAACATGAAAAATAAACGTTACTGGTTAGTCCAGCCGTATCTAATATTTTCCAAACTGTACTGCATATCAGATGAATTATATACAGATACGGACGTTAATGGTGTTAATACTACATTTTCCTGAGAACTTGGAGTGCTGGAAACGGTTGAAACCGACGTTAAAGGCGCTAATAAATTCTGTTGTGATCTTGAAGTACAGGTACGTGTTGGTTCGTTCGTATGTAATTCCGGTGACGCCTGTAATTCGGTAACTAATGTCAAAATTCCCAGTTTAGCTTTCGCTATTTGATGAGGAGGCAATTTTTTAACAGTCATCGCTATACTTTTGAAAAATAAATCAATCTCATCATCTTCGGGTTTTTGGGTTAAAGCAGACAACATTTGCATCCTTTGTTTGGATCTTTCTTCAACATTCTCCAAAAAGAGATTTTTGCGTTGGCTTCGTTTTGAAGAAGTTGAACCTGCATAGCTGTCTGGGGTACTAGAACGTGATTTGTCGATGGCATTCTGACGCAGTTTTTTCTCCTGCCTCGGATAATCGGAAGGTGGCGGTGAAGACAGGTCATCCTCAACTAGTGCATTATCCACATCGAGAGAAGTGTCCACCTCTTCTTCACTAAGTTCCCTATCTATATTTTCCTCAATGCCGGTGGCAGCTTCATTGACATTACTGATGGTTCTAAAATTGAAGATCGTGAACTCGGAACTCTATAAAAAAATACCAAGTAAACTTACTGTCGTTCGGATTTCACGTTATCTAGAAACTTCAGATATTCAAATAACGCCCATTTCGGCGGTTTCGCTGATGCTGCACTCCCTGTTCCTATCTTTTGCTTCCTTTTGTGTTTAAGAAAGTTATCTCGAATGTTTTTCCATCGAGATTTGCATTCATCAGCTGGAAACAGAAATTTGTGAAAATGTTTGCGTATAAATTTCTTTTTCAGGTTTTTAGCCACCGGAGAGACCTTCAAGTCACTCTCGTTTGCTTTCCGTATTTCACCGAGCTACATCTCCGTACTTATTCAAGAAACATTAGAAGTACTCAGTAAACATTTGGTCCCAATATTTTTGCCCCCACCAAATGCAACCGATTTGAAGAAAAATGCAACGGAATTTTGGAGCAAATGGAATTTTCCCAACTGTGTTGGTGCTGTTGACGGAAAACATATTCGAATTTTTTGTCCACAAAAAAGCGGTTCACTATTTTTTAATTATAAAGAATATTTTTCTATGGTCTTGCTTGGAGTAGTAGATGCAAATTGTAAATTTGTATTTGTTGACGTCGGCGCGTATGGAAAGGAAGGGGATAGTAGCATATTTATGAAATCTGACATGGGAAAACAAATATATTCTGGTCAGTTGTTTGAACCAGGTGTAAACCTTCCAGGTTCAAATAGACTATTGCCATACGTTATTGTCGGTGATGAAGCGTTCCGATTACATCCCCATGTGATTAAACCGTATAGCAAACAAGCGGCTAAAGGCGATAAAGAGAAAACTGTTTTCAATTATAGATTGAGTAGAGCCAGAAGAGTGTCTGAAAATGCCTTTGGATTGTTGTGTCAGATTTTTCGAATTTACTACACTCCGATTGCCATTAAGCCAGAAACGTGTGATAAACTCATACTTGTAACTTGTTGCTTGCACAATCTTCTGAGAGATGCATTTTTGGAAAAAAATAATCAGCCTTATTACAACTACGATGTAAGTTTGAATCTACCAGATAATATAACCCCGTTGAGAAATGCTGGAGGATTTGCAAATGCGGATGGTTTTGCAATAAGAGACGAATTCGCGAATTTTTTCGTCCAAGAAGGGGCTTTAAATTGGCAGGACGACCGCAAATTTAGACTAAGCAGTTAATTTTTTATGTTACAATTCACTATATTGTTGGTAGAAGCACACTGTGTACAATTTTAAACTGTACTGTAGGTTGTGTACACTTGAAATTAATAAAAAATAGCATATAGGTACTTACTACGTTTTCCTAACGCTGAAGCGATGTCATTCCAACAATTTTCACGGATCTGAAAATCTTTAAAGTCTTTGTGCTCGTGATCATACAAGCACGGATATTGCTCCACCGTGCGTATTAAAATCTCATCTGCAGAAGCCAATTCTCTTTTTCGGGACATTTTTGACACCAAAATGATCGGCGGCCGCGTCTGGACTGCTCCTTGTAGCAGTCAAGACGCAGCCGTCGACGGCTGAACGCCTAGCCGACAGGTCGAGACGTGTCAACGAAAATGCGTCGATTTGAAAACAATGATATCAGTGCATTGCGGCGGGCAGTTGCGGTCGACCGCGGCGGCGGGACGTCGCAACGAAATTGCACCTTTAGGCTTTCCTCGTTCCTTAGTCCAGCAGTTTTCAGCTAGGTGTCCCCTTTTTTCGCAGATGGTGCAGGTAGATGGCATACTCGATCTTTTCCAACAGTCCTGGTCCTTATGTCACATTTTACCGCAACTTGAACATGTCGGCTTAACTCTGGACCAACACAGCTGCTCCGTCTGGCCATTCTTCCCACAACGAGGACAACGGATACCTTGGTCACTGCTCCTTGAAGTGCTGCTGCTAGCCGCCTGATTGGATCTTCTAAGTAGACAATGTCGGGCTTTATGTCCCACCTTCTTGCTTAAGATGCACTTTTTCTGCAACCAGCTTATCAACTTCGGAGAGACTTAGAGTTTTCTCGATTTTCCGTTTTTTCCTTGGGGCACACACATTACTTCCATTTAGTTCATTGTCACCGTCACTTGAAGTGTCACTCATCTTGCACGAAGTCTATACACAGTACTTAGCAAACACAATAACTTATTATTTAACCGGTAACAACAAATCAATATTTTTAGCAAGGTCATCCCACTTCTGAAATATTAAGCCTCCCAAATTCGACGATGTTCAGGAGTTTTTAAAGGAAACGACCCGCTCCGTAACAACGTTCAATTTATTCTGTTCTATTTTATTACGAATGTAAAAATGAAAACGATCCGCTGCGCAACAACGCTCGATTTTTTTCTGCCCCATATATCTACATGTTTTTGTCCCGTACCACTTCTGTGTGTACCTATGATTCAGCGTCTAATCTTCTCCCAGTGCCGTCCCAGGATACGCTGCACTATTTTTCCGTAACATAAGGTAGAAATTGATGCCTATGTTCCCAAGCAATCTATTATAGTGACCTTTGAAGGCAACATTTTACCCTCCTACATTTCTTTAAACAGTGTCCTTTGCGAAGTAGAGCCGTTTATATACAGAGTGGTCCAATGTTACAAGTGTTTGAGATATGGGCATGTTGCAAAACAATGCAGGAGTTCATCGGTCCTATGCATTAATTGCGGCAAAATAAAGGATTCGGAGCACAATTGCAGGGATCCCCAGGATAGCTGTTGTGTTTATTGCAAGAACAGCGATCACAAGTCAACATCCAAAAATTGTACATCTTATATGGGACAGGAAAAAATTAAGAAAATCATGGCCGAACAAAATCTGACGTTCCTGGAGGCTAAAAAAAAAACTCGGTAATACATATTCCTCCATATTAAATTCAAAAATCGTTTTGAAGTTTTAGGCCAAATGCCCAATACAGAATTTCCTCCTCTCCCTCCAAAAGAACCCTCACACAGCCGATCAGCAAACCCCTCACGGTCGCAATCAACAAATTCTTCTCATACAGTCACGCAGCGAAAAGCTAGACCCCTATCTCAGCAAGAAAAGCCAAACAAAAAACGAAAAGTTGTATCCCCTATTGATGATTCCCACATTCCGCCCATGTTCCCTTTTTCATTTGGCCCCAGTAACCCCCTACCCCTTAGAGAAACAGACACAACAGAAATCCCTGATGAGAGGTTTCTGGAGACCCTATTCAAAACATTACAAGTAAAGTAAAATCATTTGAGGAATTGGCTAATATTGATATTACTTATGTGAAGAATATCTATAAAGATAGCTATCCTCCAAATGAAGAGCCCAGTGACCAAGATGAATACTAAATTGAAAATCATACAGTGGAATGCTAGATCTGCAGTAGCAAACAAACACAGCCTTAATCAATTTTTGTTCAATAACAACATAGATATTACTCTGATTTCTGAAACCTGGTTTAAACCAGGTTTTAATGTGATATTCAAAGGATACTCTATTATCAGGAGTGACAGGCATGACGGAAAGACCGGAGTTGCGACATTTGTCCGAAACACTCTGAAATTTAAAGAAATAACATGTAGACCTCGCCCCAATTACGTGCAAGTATGCGGTGCAGAGGTGCAAGTTGCAGATTCCCTTCGCCTGTCTCTTCTATCTATGTATGTCCTCCTAGTGCACATAACCGCACGAATGAATGGATTGATTTGCTATCTCCCTTCGGTCAGGATACAATTGTAGGGGGCGATTTCAATGCCCACCATAGTTTGTGGGGCTCCTACAAGCAGGACCATAATGGGTGCTCTCTTGTGGAAGCACTAAACTCTATAGACTTGGTATTGATGAATGATGGGTCATCTACTAGATTGCATAACAATGGTCTAAATTCAGTTGTAGATTTAACTTTTTCTTCCCCGGACCTAGCTAACATTATTGAATGGAAAACCCATGTTGATACCCTAGGATCAGATCATTACCCTATCCTCCTAGAGATGAAATCCCCGACATCACATTCCGCTTATGAAGTAACTCCAAAATACACATGGAATACCCACAAAGCCAATTGGGATCATTTCCATTCACTTGCAGATAATTATTTCTCAAACTCTCATCCGAATTTCCAGGCTATAAATGACAAATATCAGTTTTTTATTCAAGGCATTAATGAGTCCGCCCGTAGCTCAATCCCTCGATATAAACCCTTCACAAGACAAAATGAGACACCTGCTGCTTGGTGGGATAGAGAATGCGATGAAGAAATTAATAAACGAAAAAATGCCTTTGCACAGTACAAGCAGATATCCAGCGAAGCCAACTTCATTGCTTGTAAGAGAGCAATAGCACACACAAAAAGACTACTAAAAAGTAAAGCAAAAACGCATTGGAAAAAATTCTGTTGCAACTTAAATAAAAACATCCCTAGCACCGAGCTTTGATCTCAGGCTAAGAAAATGCAGAGAATGCAAGTCACTCATAGGAAATGCAATAACTTGGATTGGGAAGCAAATTTCCTAGACAAAATCGCTCGTCCTTCGACCACATCATTCTTTCCAGAGATTCACCGTAGTCAAAACCCTGAAACCCTAACTGACAATATCTTCAGTCATCCCATTACTGTCACTGAACTTGAATATGCGCTAAAGAACTCAAACAATTCGTCCCTTGGCTGAGACAACATAACATACTCAATTTTATGGCACCTACCTTTGAATGCAAAGCAGCTATCACTAGAAATTTACAATGAGGTATGGTTAGAAAACGGAGACATTGAAGACTGGCGAAAAATAATTGTTGTGGCCGTGCTCAAACTGGGCAAAGATCCAAATTTATATGAATCATACAGACCAATATCCTTATTATCGTGCATCCTTAAGACTCTCGAAAGAATCAAAGTACAGACTAGAATGGTTTCTCTACGCAAGAAATTTACTCCCGAACTCACAATTTGGTTTCAAAAAAGGATATGGTACCTTAGATGCTGTAGGGAATGTAGTTACAGATATCCAAAACTGCTTCTCAAGGAATGAATACCTGGGAGCTGCATTTTTAGACATCAAAGGAGCATATGACTGCGTCGACATGTTCATGCTAAAAGACAAGTTAGAAGATATTGTGGTTCCAAGTAATACTTGTCGGACTATCATAAAGCTCTTTCTAAACAGAACAATATTTCTCGGATCCAAAACCAACTCACTTCTGGGCCCTAGAGAAGTATCAGTAGGCCTTCCTCAGGGATCAGTTTTATCACCAGTCCTGTTTAACATATATACTAGAGATATCCACGTAGTTAACCCAACATACAATCTCGTACAGTATGCTGATGACTTTGTCGTTTACCTAGATGAGAAAGGATTCCAATCATGCAAAAAATCTCTATTAAGCGCTATAACTTCGATAACAAGTCAACACATTGGGATTCAGCCTATCACCACACAAATCATCCATAGTATTCTTCTCACGGCACAACATTCCTCCAACAGGTGATATAGAAATCAGTGGCTCTCGATTTCCAGTAAGAGAAACAGTGGAGTACCTTGGAGTTGTTCTTGACCATAAACTAACATGGTACCCTTTCATTGACAAAATAGTTACGAAGTGTCAAAAAGGTATTAATTTCCTGAAGATGATTCGACGTACGTGGTGGGGAGCAGATCCTGATACAGCGTTAACATTCTATCGCTCATACATCAGATCGATCATCGATTATGGATGCACTTTGTATGGTTCTGCTAGTCATAAAGCCTTACAAAAATTGGATACACTACAAAACAGTGCATTGAGACTTTGTTTGGGCGCAGTGAGGTCAACTCCAATTGAACCCCTCAGAGTAGAATGCCTTGAACCACCTCTTCAGCTAAGGAGACAATTATTGTCAGAAAAAACAACTTATCAAGTCAGAAGTAAAGCAAGACCATATAATAAAAAAAATAAGCACGTTAAACTCTCATGACCTCACCAATAAATATTGGCAGAAAAAACAATCACCCCCCCTTTGTGAAGCATTTAGGAATTCCAGAATAGAGATAGATAATTTATCTGAATACCAATCATCCCGGAATTCTCAAGAATTTTTCATTTCCCTCGAGAAACACAACTTAGTTTTACCAAACTATCCCCTCTACCGAAGAAAACTGTTGAATCCTTATCCAGAATACGTTAAAATCTATACTGACGCTTCTAAGGACAGCAAAGGAACAAGTTGTGCCTTTATTACACAACCCAGTGGACATTCATCAAAACTCAAATTGAACAGTCTGACATCTATATTCACAGCTGAAGCCATTGCTATTCTCAAAGCCTTGGAATACTTAGATTCCAAGGTAATTATCAAAGGGATTATAATATCAGACAGTCTGTCAGTCTTGAAATGTATAGCTAAGCCAGTCGACATAAATAACCCTTATATTAACCCATACATCTTGAAAATAAAGCAGTTCCTTCATAAACTAAATGCCAAAAACTACAAAATAAAGTTGGTATGGGTAAAAGCCCATGTCGGAATTAAGCTCAATGAGAGGGTTGATAGATTGGCTAGGGAAAGCATTACTTCTGGTGAAATCTTGGACCACCTTCTTCCCATAGATGAATATATTCATTTGCAAAAAAAACAAACGAGAACTGATTGGGAAACAATATGGGAGAAATATAAAAACTCAAGAATAAATAGATATGTATTAATACAACCCGAAATCCCTAGATACACCTGGTTTGGTAAATACAAATACAACAGAAAAACCTTAACCACACTGATAAGGATCAGATTTGGACACGCATGTTACCCAGAGCATCTAAATCGGATTGGCGTACTGGACACTATGCACAAGATGTAATGAAAATTTGAAATCTCGACCACCTATTCTTCGGTTGTCAGAACAATAGGAATCAATCTCTGCGACTAATAAACAGAGTAATAGACTTAAATGTACTGACTCCTTTTAACCTCATACATTTATTATCCCTAAATAGAAAGGAGATCTATGACAGCCTGGCTGAATTTATCCATTCAATCAATGTAAACCTATAATCACCTCACATACCGTTGTTGCCTCCCTATTTGTTATATCCCTCCTCTTACTGTGGTCTACCTGTGCACGTGTAAGAAGTCGCCCTGACCGACCCTTGAGGCGTGAAGAAGTGTCCTCTATGAAGATCCCTAGCATCATCCCACTATAACTATACATAGACTTCCGGTTTGGAAAAACATGAATCCAAAATCTAACCGATGATCCATCATTCATATAATGCTTAGTGACTGGCTGCATGAACACCTAGTTCTAATGCCAAAAAAAAAAGAAAAGAAAAAAAGGTTGATTAAATGAGGGCAAAGTTTAATATTAAGGTAATTAACAAAACGCCGATTGGTATGTTTTTTCCCGGAATCGTCTTAGTATTTTCCTGACTTAATTTGTAATGAGACTTCAAAATAACTTGCCCACTAGCATTGCCACTTTTTCCCGTCTACCAGATGGCATAATTAGAATTTCAAGATGATGTTTCGTCACTTGGCCTCCAGCATCAACTTTATTTTTTATTATGGACGTCAAATTGAATTCTTGGGTAGATGAATAGAATTTTTAATTCTGATTTCAAAAATGATCAGATGTCACAAATTGATATTGCCAAACCAAAGTTATTTTAGAAAAACATAATTTCCTAGATAAGCCTTGAAATTATCAGATTCCATTTGTTTTGTATACCAGACCAGACCTCAAATTGAACATAGCAACCGAGTTTGTAAGACTCAGAAGAAGAGAATTTTTCATGCTCTAACTACAACGAAGGCCTAAACACCTATGGGGTACCGTGGGGCTATAGGGAAAAGGGGGCGACGCCACACGGACTCTAGCGAGGGAACACGTGTGCATGCAGCATGCACACATTCCGGCTCCGCCTACGAGATACGCCGGGCAGTACCTCCGCGTTCGACTGTCAGAGACCGTCTACCACCTACGGACAATCACAACATCCATGGCCAAGAGAAAAATTCTCTTGGGACGGGATTCGAACCAGCGCAGCGCACGGCGACCGATTAGGAGACCGTAGCGTCTACCGCTACACCACCGCCGCTGCCCGAACTAGACATCGGTCAGACCCCGACCTATGCCCCGACAAAGGTATATCTAGAAACGCGTGTTGTTGGAAATATTTCTCTATGATTCTGCGTTGAGCACAAATGTACGGATAAACCCATGATGTGTGAAACATGTCTAATAGGTGCATAAAATCATCAGGGTTGGAATCATGTAAATTGTCGTTCCTATTGCATAAGGGCATATCTCAAAACCTGCAAGTTTTCAGGAGGCGCTTCCAAAGTTTTAAGTTTGGATTGGAGGTAGATGGAACGTATGTATGTGAGCCTTGCAATTTTTTTCATGCAGTTCAAGCAGCCTATATTGTATATGCTTCCTGCTTCAGCATATTTATATTTTTTTGTGTTTTCACTTATATAACTTTGAATGGGATACGCCTCATTGTTAAATGTTACAATTTGCTGTTTAGCGAACAAAATAGACAGAACTCATATATTCGAGAAATTAATCGAGTAGTGAATAATGAACAGAGAAGAGTCAGGATTTGCCTACATAACGGACATTTTGGACATCTGCTAGGATTTACCTCTGCTCATTTATGATTATTATTGTTTTTATTATCAATAAAATTTTCATATTGTGTTTAGGTTTTACCATACTTTTTTATTTCCTTATTATATTCATCCAACAACAGAAGAAAATGCATCACTGAATTTAGGACTGAATAGTCCATTTAAATGTAAAACATTCCAATATAGCGTCCATTATGGTTTCAGGCATATTTGTAAATAATATTGAAAGTGTTCTTAAATCTGGTACCTTAAACGCAGATCTGATATCTGACCACAAGCTAGTATTTTGTGAATTAAATATAAAAACCGTTTCATCCGAGGAAAAAGTCATAACCTATAGGGATTTTAAGAACATTGACGTAATTAAACTCAAGCAGGATTTGGCTGCAGCTGGCTTAGAAGAAATGCTGCATATTACTGACTAACTAAAATTCTAATCCTTTCTGGGGTACTTATTGAGCTTCTTAACTTTCACGCTCCTACTCGGACAGCTCGTGTCACCAAAAAAGCTGCTCCATGGTTAACTTTTGTACTTGAGGTCATTCTTAAGGTGAGAGATGAGGCTCTGATTAAATTTCGTCACAATCCATCAGATGAAAGTTCGACAGCGTATAAAGAATTAAGAAATTATTCACTTGCTTCAATAAGGCTTGGGCTCAGCTGAGAGTAATAAATTTTTGTTCCCAGAAACACATTGAAATACCCTATGATCTATTAAACCCTAACGAAGTCAATAACAACTTCATGTTAAATTACCAAAATCTTAATATCAATTCCCGTGTGATAGTCCGTACAGTAGAGTTTTATGACAACAGCTCTTACAGGCAAGATGTAACTCCATTCACATTTAGAATGATGACCGCTGAAGAAATTTTGGACATAGTTACCTCTGTGCTAGGTTACCGCTTACATGAAATTTCATTGTATTTAACACATATTGGTAATATGTGCCTTGAGACCGAGACTTTTCACTGAGGCTTGGAAGGAAGCTATTATCTTCCCCTTGGCCAAAGGAAAAAATCTCACCACTCATAATCATTTTGTTTGTTGTACTTTTGTTCGAAGGTATTGGAGAAAGCAGGGTACATTCAACTAGTGGAATATTTAGAGCAAAATAACTTGTTTCCTCCTCATCAATCAGGATTTCGTAACTGACGACATCGTAGGTAACTTAGACAGATACATATATTAATACCATAATAGTCATGACTGATTTCTGAAAAGCGTTTGATACAGTTGATCATAAAATCATGTTGAGCTGGAGTACATTGGACTATCTGATATTCCGCTAAGATTTTTCCAAAGCTACTTGGCTGATAGAACACAGGTAGTTGAGACGGTAAGCGGCGCTTCTTATAGTACTGTGGTTTTGTCTGGCGGTCCGCAGGGGTCAGGTCTGGGACCTCTGCTATGTTAAATTTATACTATAGACTTAGACTAATGTGTGAAATTTTGGTCTATGCAAACGTATGCTGATGACACATAATTATCATGTCACTTCAAATATTCTCAGTTAAATGAAGTGTAGTTTAAAATTAATACTGACCTAATTAATATTACGAATTTTTGCAAAAAGCACTGTCTCAGGATCAATCCTGAAAAAAGTTCAAGTATGCTTTTTTCTCCGAAACACATGTATAGTAATATAAAGGTCTCAATGGTAGAACATTCTAAGAACCTGGGTGTTATCTCAGACTCTAACTTGAAGTTTGCTAGACACATCGGTTACCTGTCTCAAAAAAGGTATGCCAAATTAAAATTTTTATACCCCAGCTGCTTCATTTTAAGCTTCAAGACTAGGCAAAAGTTAGTTGAAAGCTTGATCCTGTCATCTTTGCAATATTCTCTGATTGTATTCTATTCTTATTTGGATTTGTCGGATCGGTATAGGTTACAAAAAATTCAAAACAACTGCTGCAGGTTTGTGTTTGGACTCCGTAAATATAGTCATGTCTCTCCGAAGATCCAAGATTTAAATTGGTTAAAGACGGAACCACAGTTTGTGTATGCTATGAAGGTGTTGAACCTCTGCTATGTTAAATTTATACTATAGACTTAGACTAATGTGTGAAATTTTGGTCTATGCAAACGTATGCTGATGACACATAATTATCATGTCACTTCAAATATTCTCGGTTAAACGAAGTGTAGTTTAAAATTAATACGGACCTAATTAATATTACGCATTTTTGCAAAAAGCACTGTCTCAGGATCAATCCTGAAAAAAGTTCAAGTATGCTTTTTTCTCCGAAACACATGTATAATAATATAAAGGTCTCAATGGTAGAACATTCTAAGAACCTGGGTGTTATCTCAGACTCTAACTTGAAGTTTGCTAGACACATCGGTTACCTGTCTCAAAAAAGGTATGCCAAATTAAACTTTTTATACCCCAGCTGCTTCATTTTAAGCTTCAAGACTAGGCAAAAGTTAGTTGAAAGCTTGATCCTGTCATCTTTGCAATATTCTCTGATTGTATTCTATTCCTATTTGGATTTGTCGGATCGGTATAGAAGAGCCAAGATTTAAATTGGTTAAAGACGGAACCACAGTTTGTGTATGCTATGAAGGTGTTTGCCCATAAAGTAGTTCGCACAAAAAAACCACCGTACATTTTAGAAAAGCTGTTACCAAGCGGTAACATTAACACGTCATAACACGCCCTGCTGCATTGTGCCGCAAATATAGAAGTTACCTAATATCTTCCTTGTTTATGCAAAACCAGGATAGAGCGACTAAATATTCCTTGTCCTACTTCTATCAATAACGACTATGAGTCGCGTCAGTCTGTTGCTATCCCTTGACGGAATGTGTCGGCTTCCATGAGCATTTTGCTGACAGGCTTGCGATAACGTAGACGTATTGATTAACAAAATTGAGCAATTTGCTAACAGGCGTGATCATAGGTGAGGTTATACATTTTTTTATTTTTGATATATGGTGCATTTATTTTAATATATTTCAGTCAGTCGACATTTGAAAGGAATTGCTGTGATCTATATGAACGAGAGAGAGCGGGTGAGGCTCCTAAACGAAGATGTTCCTGACTGTAGTTCCAGTGAATTAGGTGACGATTTATCGGACCATAGTGGCGTTGATGAAACAAATAATGGAGAACACATTTTTATCGGTAAAAAACTTAAATTTTCCGAAAAACACTAATCACTATGAGGCAATTTGCTAACAGTGCGTGTAGTGAAGTCATGGTTAATCCGGAAAACTGCTAAGGTGGCCTGTATTCTCGCTATACGAAATATAACAAACAAAACAACGGGAAGGTTTCTAAATAAACGTATTAACGAAAAATTTTTCTCAATTCGTTTCTACTATGTTTTAGTGTCATTTCTTAACCGTTAAGCCATTTTAGTGGATTTGAGCAAATTGCCGTAGGGCGTGTGTTCGCGTAAAATTTGGGGTGCGTGTAGTGACGTGTTAATCAGGGAAATCACAGACACAACCTAAATTTTGCGATGCCAGTCCACTACACGGCATTTTTCCAGTGAAGCTTCACATTTTATGCTGTCAGGTTATACAATTCTAGAGATAAAATGTATTGCAGTAAAACCATAGTACCTTTCAGGAGACTCGTTAAGAAACAGCTGATGTGATAGTTCAAGTATAGTACTCTGATTTAAACTGTTTCAACTGTGCACTTGTTATTTTTTTTTCTTTTTTCTGTTTTATATTATTCTGTTGGCTCATATGTGAGTATTGTAAACACGTTATATATTCCCTTCATTTACTGACTTTTCTTTTTCTCGTTCTTATTATTATTGCTATTATCATTGTTTGTTTGTGTATCGAGTTTAACTATGTTACTTTTTCGCACACAGTTAGGTTAAGTGTAAGACTAGCCCATTGTCTAAGCTTCGCCTCGTATGTGTATTAATAAAGTCATTTATTATTATTATTATTACTATTATATGAAAAAAACTAAGTTGGTGATGGAAGTCGGAAAAAAATGTCGAATTTAAAATTTGACTACACCATATTCTGTAGGAGAATGAGTAGTAATAACAATATGCAATTTATTTTGAAATCTCATCTCAAATAAACTCAGGAAAAAATAAGCGATTTTTTTGATAAATCTGGTATGCGAAATAAATGACAATCTGATAATTTTAAGGCCTATCTAGGATATTCTGCTTTTTTTGAATGAACTAAAACTTGGCAATGCCAATTTATGACGCATAATACATTTTTGCAATCAGAATGAAAAACTATTATCTCTATTCATCTGTGCAAACATCCAATATGGCGTCTATAAGAAAAATAAAGTTGATGAAGAGACGAAACATCACATTGAAATTCCAATTATGCCGTCTTATAGAGGAGAAAAAGTGGCAATGTTAATGTGCAAGTTATTTTGATATCCCACTCTAATAGAATCAGGCAAAAATTAAAACAATTTTGGGAACATTCGTTTTTTTTTTCGCCTCTCTCCAGAAGTGCATTGAATTTCGAAACTTTCTAAGCGGCATTTTGTTAATTACCCGAATGCGCAACTTTGCCTTCATTTAAGCTACTTCGTATCGCTTACAATTTCCGAGATCCCAACGGAGAGAGTCGAATTTGAAATACCCTGTAGAAGATCCACATAATCATAAGAAATGTAAAAAGTATCATAGCAAGTCAAGTATGTCATTACGTTATTGAAATCAATTTCAATGGTTGAAACTCATTTAGAATCAGGCACCTGGTTACGTAACTGCAACCACAGTCAAGAAATATGAAGATTTTGTATAAGAAACTCTTACAATTTTTCTGACAGCAATTTTTTTTTTTATACTCCAACTACCACGAAGGCCTAAGGCCTAAACACCCATTGGGTACCGTGGGCCTATAGGGGGATACACGGGAAAGGGGAAAGTCAAGTATATCATAACGTTATTGAAATCAATTTCAATGGTTGAAACTCATTTAGAATCAGGCACCTGGTTACGTAACTGCAACCACAGTCAAGAAATATGAAGATTTTGTATAAGAAACTCTTACAATTTTTCCGACAGCAATTTTTATTGGTAGTATCGTTAGATTATTGCTATCTAATGACGAGTTCAAATTGACGTCAAGATACGACTGAAGTAGTTGCCGACATTTTGATTAACGCAATTCATCAAAAATCTTAACAACCACCGATCTAATGTAAAAAAGTAATATGAACATCATGTGGGGAACCCAATTCTCTATCATTTTGCTTTTACAAAAAATAGCCGTTTAGTCAACAGGTTGAGAAATGTAAGGGTAAAGGAACATAAATAATACTATGTTTAATGTAAGCAAATTTCATAAATTTATTTCCATAAAACTTAAGAAAAATATACACATTTTCCTGAAGTATGCTGCATTTTTGAAGTGCTATCTGTGGATATATGACACATATGCAGGATCATATACATAGGGATCTCAATATCTGTGAGTGAAACAGCTTAGGTTAAACTCGAAAAAGCTGCGTTCTTTGGGGCGTATTCACATGCTATTGAGAAATAATTTCATGGTTTACTGAGGTATTTGGGAAAAACTAAAATTTGGCCAAATCGTCTTTTTCCTCTCTGACTTTATTTCAAGATATATTATTGACACTTTTCAGGAACTACATTATGATGTTCTTAAATTTTGTGCCAACTTTATTTTTTTACATGGTCCGAAAAGAAA